GGCTATTATAAATAATGCTATGAAGAACATTTGAGTACAAGTTCTTGGGCCAACATATGTTTTCATTTCTCTTGTGTATATATTTAGGAGTGGAATTGCTGGGTCATACAGCAGTTCTGTTCAGCCTTTTGTAGAACTGCCAGACTGTTTTCTAAAGTGGATGCACTATCTTATATTTCTTTTTTTTTTTTTAGAGAGAGAGAGAATTTTAATATTTATTTTCCAGTTTTCGGCGGATACAACATCTTTGTTGGTATGTGGTGCTAAGGATTGAACCCGGGCCACACGCATGCCAAGCGAGCGCGCTACCGCTTGAGCCACATCCCCAGCCCACTATCTTATATTTCTATCAGCTTGAATGAGGGTTGCAAGTTCTCCCCATGGATATTGGCCTGTCTTTGTAAGAATTTCTCTCCTAGTAGCTATGAAGTAGAATGTCATTGGGATTTTGTTTGCATTTCACTGAAGATCAATGATATTGAACATCTTTTCATGAGCTTATTGTGCTTTGTTCCTTAAAATCTCATAACTTATACACTTGCCTTATGGCTTCAGTTTCCATTGCAGAGACAATGCTGGGTCACCAGGGACAGAAAGAAAACTTGTCCCATCTTCCTAAGAAGTCCCATTTTTATTCCTCCATGTTGTATTTGTTTAAAAAAAAAATAACAACAACAAAAATAGAACAAAAATCCCACACAGTAAAAATTTTCTTGTCTCTAGGTATATAAAAATGCATTTAAAATATTTTGGGGGGGCTGGGTTTGTAGCTCAGAGGTAGAGTGCTAGCCTAGCATGTATGAGGCACTGGGTTTGATCCTCAGCACCATATAAAAATAAATAAATAAAATAAAGTCATTATGCCTATCTACAACTAAAGAAAAATATTAAATTTTTTTTTGCCAACACATTATCTTCCTTTTTTAAAACAAATGAGTCTGTAATGAGTTTCCTAGCATTTTGTAAAACAAAATGATCCTCAAAATATTTTCCAATCTAAAAAAATGAGCATGTACCATCTGAGAAGGAGATGAAGGATATGAAACTGGGAAGTATCCTGGGAAGATTGGGAAATATGGTTGCTATAAATATAGGACAATTAGAGACTCTTTTTCCATTGACAAAGTAAAAGTTATAGGTTTAAATTCATTCCTATGAAGGCAAGTCAGTCTGTGATGTTCATTAATGTTTCCCTCGCCAACCAATTGTTCCAAATTCTGAATATCAAGCATTTCTTTGCAAGAGTTATTTCCTACATTTGAACTGTATTACTTCAGAAAGCAAATTTGCATTTAGTAAAATATAAGTTACTTAAGAACGCTTGAAAATGTGAGAATTTAGAATGCCAGGTAGTTTTAAACAGAACCATGTGGCGTAGGCACAGTTTGGTCAGTAAATAATACTTTAAAAAATATTTTAATGACACGAATTTCAAGGTAAAATACTTTTTAGAACATAAAAAGAGAAAAATCCAAAGTCTTTTTTTTTGGTAAAAAGTTCAATTAGAATTACAAAAGCTCTAACTTCAGAAATATAAACTGTTATTAACTTTGAGAAGCTGAATATTCTGCTTTAAGAGAATACAATACAATAAAAAAATCAGAATATTAAAAAACAGTAGAATGAATCAGGCATAATTTTCCTGTGTTCTTTTGTAAATACATAACCAGTGAAACTCCACATCATGTTACAACCACAAGGATGGGATCCTAATTAGAATAAGTTATACTTCATATATGTATGATATTTCAAAATTCACTCTACTGTCATGTATATTTTAAAAGAACAATGTTTTTAAAATGTAAAAAAAAAATACCATTCTCAGATAAATTTTATCAGGGTCCTTAGAAGAAATGAATGATTGCAGGACAGGGCTAAAGAGAGTATATGCTGACCATGGAGCATCTTAGGGTGCCAGAAGGTTGGGAAGTGTTAAAAAATGATGAGGATAGGGGCTGAAGCTGTGGCTCAGTGGTAGTACACTTGCCTGGCATGTGTGAGGCACTGGGTTCGATTCTCAGCACCATATATAAATAAATAAAATAAAGGTCTATCAACAACTAAAAAAAAAAGATGAGGATATATCAGAAATATACAAGTACTAACTTGAAGTAACTCACAATGGCCATATCTAGGACAACTCGATTAACAAAATAAGTGGCAATAATAGATTATATTTCAAAGGATAAAATAAATATTAATAAATCTATACTGATTTAAATTAGTAATTAAATATGTAAATGAGAGAAAGGGAGAAGTTCTTTATTTTAGCAGAATTCCAGTTAGCTAATGAAAAAAGGAATAGTGGAAATGGTAGAAATAGATAAAACATCACCATTTGGTGGACACCACAGTAATTATTATACACAAGATCATTAAGAGATGTTAAGGTTTGTGGGGAAAAGTATGATAGCAAATGAGATGTTTACACAGCTGTGAAGAATTTTTCCCACAAGATGCTATTAATTACAAAGGGAAATGTTAACTTTTGAAAAACCTAGCAGACAATACCTTAACCAAATGATCAAAGTTAGTATTATCAGTGGGACATATTGCCATCATGTGCCTTCTGATGTAATGCACTAAGAAGAACATAAATATTTTATGATATTCTTGCAAAAAGTGCATAATTTAAATTCAGCCACAAAGAAGTATTAAATGAACTCAAATTGAGGGCCCTTCTATACTATACAGTACTATAATACTCTTCAAAAATGGCAAGATTATGAATGACAAAAAAGACTGAAGTATTTTCAGATTAAAAGAAACTAAGGAAACAGGACAACTAAATGCAATATGTGATTCTGAATTGGATCCTGGATTAAAATTAGTGGGACAATTGGTGAAAATTGAATAAGTTTTATAGAGTAATGAATGGCATTTCTGGTTCTGACCATTATATCACGGTTAAGCTACCAACATTTGTGGAAGCTGGGTAAAAAGTGTATGGAAATTCTTAGCATTATTTTTACAACTTTATATAAATCTGAAATTATTTCAAAATGAAAAATATTTAATTTGTTTTTATTTTAGTTTCCTTTTTTCTGTCTTATTTTGGGTTAATCAGGTACTTATTATATTTCATTTCTTCCTTTGACTCTTTAACTCTGTGATCAATTAATGATTAACTTACCTAAATCATACTACTTAATATAAAATTTAAGATGATCTTACAAAAATATAGATCAGTTTATCCACCTATATTTTGTATAGTGTTATCATTTGTATTACATCTAGGTATATTTTAAACCCACAATATGTGATATAGGTTTTCTGTAAATAACAATTTGTTCTTTAAGAGATGAGAAGATTGTTGTTGTTGCTGTTTTTAATTTACGTTTCTCCCTTTAGATCTGAATTTCTGTCTAGTGCCATTTATTTTCCACCTAAGAAAATTCCTCTAGCACGTTATGCTCATGACAAAAGTCTCTTTATATTCTTTTCATTTAAAAAAAATTTTTTTAGATACAGAATTATAGGTATCTTTTTTTAAATTTCAGCACTTAATAGATGTCAATCTATTGTCTTCTGGCTTCTCTTGTTTTGGATGAGGAGTTATCCATCACTTATTGTTCCCCTGTGTATAATGTGTTATTTTTATCTGGCTACTTCCAATGTTTTCTCTTTATCCTTCAGCATTTAATAACAATGTACCTATTCATGTTTTCTTATATTTATACTACTTCAGTTCATTGAGTTTCTTAAATATCTAAGCTTGGGTTTTTTCAAATATGGGAAAATGTTGCCTGTTTTCTTTCTTTTCTTTTTTTAAAGAATATTTTTATGTCTTACTCCTCCTTGCCACTGCCCTTTTTCTGGGATTCCAGTTGCATACACATTACACTATTTTAAATTTTTTTCATAAATCCTCTTTATTTTCCATTTTGGGTGGGTTTTTTTTTTATACATCTTTAAGTTCATGGAACTTTTCCTCATTCATCTTTAATTATATGTTAAACCTATCTACTGTTTTTTTATTTCATATATGTATTTTTCAGTACTAAAATGTACATTTCTTCATTTTAATAGTTTTCTTTTTGTTTTATTATATTGTGTATCTGTTCATTCATTATGACCTCATTTTCCTTTTAAGTCCTTAATATCCTTATAATAGCTGATTTAATTTGTCTGCCTGCTCATGCCAAGGTCTGAGTCATCTTGTGGTTGATTTCTATTGATTACTTTTTCTCTTGATACTAGGTCATATTCCTTTACTTGAGATATTACCGCATTTTTTTATTATATACTGGACGATATATAATAAAGACGGTGAATTTTGTTATCTTTCCCTGAAGACAAGATTTTTGTTCTAGCAAATTAACTTAGCTGAACTCCAAATGCGGTCGCCCCTTTGGTGGACGTTGACTAAAACCTGTGTTCAGTCCTTTCAGCCTTGCAGCTGTTACCTTTCACTTGTGTGGTTCAGGAATAAACTAGGAATTTGGGTACAGTTTATACATAGATATGAAGGGCTCTTGTGACTTCTTCTTTCCTGGGATTATTTTTCTCACTTCTAGTTTAGCTGTTAACCCCAAATTTGTTCTTCTGACTCCTCAAACCAGTTAACATTGTAGATTTCTGCTTAAGTTCTAAGCACCTCACACCATATGGACTGTGAAGTTCTACCAGGTGACAAGCAATATAAATATGAAGTCTGCCTACTGCAGTTTCTTCTTTGAAGGATTGACATTCCATTCCCACCCCTGCCACCCAAGTTTCTGCTTGTTTTGGGTCATTCTATCATGCTTTCAAATAGTTGTTTTTGTTTGAGCATATAATTATCTGTAGAAGGGTTAATTTAATATATGCTGCTCTGTGATGACCAGAAATTGTACCACATAACTTTTAATTTTCAGTTCTCCATTGATGCTACATAGGATTAAACAACTAGAACAACAACAAAAACACCACATTTTCTGTGAATGTGGCAATATCTCAACAAAGCCTTCTAAAGGAATTAAACATATTACTGATCTTTTTTTTCTTTCTTTCTTCTCTAGACAAGAGATGATTTCCTAGGTCAAGTGGATGTTCCTCTTTATCCATTGCCGGTTAGTATAGGTGTCCATGATTTGGGGTTTTGTGTTTATTATTTTTAATTTAATAAATACTTATAATATACACAATATATAACAGGTAATGTTATAATTAATGTGACTATTTTATTTATAAAGTATAAACTTCTTTTATTTCTTGAGTGTATTATTTTCTGAAAATTTATCTCAAATTTTCATTTCAATTTTCTCTTTAGTATTTACTTATATGAATCCTAATTAGAAGTAGAGCACCACTGAAGTTTGTTGGCATCATGAAATCATGTTTAAGGAAAAGCAATTTGGAAATATCCTGTGGAATAATTAGAGTACGGAGAGCCCTAGGTTCACAGAAGGAAACTAAGATACTTTACAACAATGTAAACCTGAAACAGTGAGAATCTGGACTCAGAATATAGCAATGGAGGAGAACAGATTTAGGAAACCAAGTGTCTGATATGGAGATTGGAGGGGAAGCAAAAAAATAAAGAGAATACAGGTTGAACTCAAAGATAAGAATAGTATCTAGAATAGAAAAGAGAGGAGAAATAGTCGTTTTATTTTGAAATACAAGGAATTTGTTATTGGACATGGTGAATTTCAGTAGAAAACAGGAAATGTAAAGTTTAAATTAGACTGCTAATAGAAATATAAAAATAGGACTGGGGTTGTGGCTCAGTGGTAGAGCGCTCGCTTTGCACATGTGAGGCTCTGGGTTCAATCCTCAGCACCACATAAAAAAATAAAAATAAAGATATTGTGTCCATCTACAACTAAAAACATTAAAAAGAAATATAAAAATAAACTATGTAGAGAAAAGGGACTGAAAGGATTGAGGGATCTCACTGTCCAGGTAATAGCAAAATCTGAGCTTAATTAGCTCTCCAAATAAGAGAGAGAGAGCACGAAGAGACCACCCCAAACTGAAAATTAGTTAATGTGGGTGGATAAGAAGAAAGAGAGAAGACAGACAAGAGGAAAATGCAAAAGAACCAAATAAAATGGTCTTATGAGAACTTAAAAGGAGTTTTGAGTTTGAGTTTGGGATGGAGAGGGTAGTTAACAATGCAAAACAGCAGAATAGGCAAGGGTAATGAAAACAAAGGGCTGTAGAACTTTGAAATAGAGAAAGGAAATTCTTTACTCTGTCAATTATTTGAGATAGATATTGGCTTTTGACAACTTTTAGAGATCATATCTTTCAATAGTGTATTTAATCCAGTCTGACTTTCCAGGCTGTTTATTCTTTAGTTCTGGAATTGTCTCTGTGATCTAGCCAAGTCAACCTGCCGACATGGTACCCATTCTCTATTCCTACTGGGTGCCCGCCTTCCAACCACTCTGTCATGCTGCCCCACTGCTCCTCTTCTGCTCTGCTTTGGGCTCCGTAGCCCACCTGCCCAGCCAATGTTAGGCTGAGTTGTGATGCTGGCTGTAATTCCCATCATGCAGGAAGATGAAAACACTGTAAAAATACAAATGTAACCGTTTAATAAACAAAAACTACTTTTTCTCGCTCTTAACTATGCCTGAGGTCACACTTCATGAATTTTCTTGAAAAGTACATAGTATTTTTGTGTTATAGATATATCTTGAAAACTAACTGTTTTATTCTAGACAGAAAATCCAAGAATGGAGAGACCATACACGTTTAAGGACTTTGTTCTTCACCCAAGAAGGTCGGTAAATATAAATTTATAGCATAAGTTGTTTTTTTTTTAATCTCTGTTAAACCTTACAGTAGACTTTTTGAAAATTTAGGATTTAAACCCTTATAATTTTATATTAATAGTATTGAAAGCATTATTATCATTTCTGATTTAAAAGTATTATATGCACATTACAAAATTTTTTGAAGATATAGAAAAGTAATCACATCCCTTTGGGAAATATTTGTTCTCCTAATATTTTTCTGACTTGAAGGCTGAAATTTGGCATTTTATTATATTTTATATCTTACAGCACATGTAATTTTTGTCATACTATGTTTTAAAAGCATGCACAAAGCCAGTTTCAGAAAAAAAACTATATTTTGCTTAGGTTAATTTTTAAAAAGTATTTTAGAAGACTCAAGTATTTAGGGAAAAATAGCATGAAATGAACACAAAGCATATTCTTAATTCCATTTTTCTAACCTGAATTGCTTGATTTTTGTCAAAATTTTAAATTTTATGCTGTAAATAAACCCCCTTTTGATCTTCTGTACCACATACTCAAGAAAACCCAGTTAAAACATGTGTGTGGATTTACTGTCAAAAAGGTCAAAGTACACCAGATAAAGGACATCTGTGAAAACAACAGTATTTAGCTTGTTTTTTAAACTAGAAAATGCATTTGAAAAACTGCTTTATTGAAACATAGTAAAAGTTTGCATTTGAAATGGTTAAATTACTTTTCATAATATAAATATTAAAATAAGAGAGAGTGCTCTAATACTGCTGATTTTTACTCTGTAAGTCACATATTTAATTTCTATAGAAGTATAGAATGTAAATTTCTTCCTCTAATTTTGGGACCAGTTGTAACTTATTTGAAAGTTCTTCTTGTTTGATTGCCCTAGTTGCCTACTTTTCAATGTGTCAGATGTTTTTTAGTATTTTTTTCTTTAAACAAAATCATATCTTCTGTATATATTGGATATGATTGCAAGCCCAGAAGAAATTTATTCAAATAGAAAATGTCCTACATTTGTTTGAGTCCTTATCATTTGTTTGGTAAGTCAAATCCATGGTTTGGTTTTATTTTTTGGTTGGAAACACATGAAGCACAATTATAGAGAAGTTTTTCAACAAAACATTATCTAAGTACATTTTCTGTATCCATCATTTATAGCAGCAAGTCAGAGTGTCCACACCCCCCTTAACTGTAAATGCACAAGCCATGTTCATGGCCTTGGGAAGAAGAGTAAGAAATTTTACTGATCACTTCAGAGAAGAACACTTAATTTACCAAATCCATGAGAAGTGTTCAGAGAACAACTAAAAAGATTAGGAGAGACACAGGACTGGAGGGAGAGGGTATATAATCTCTCAAAGATGGAATAAAGAATTTGGACTCTTACCTAGAAAAACGGGACAATTTGTTACATAACTGATATCTGTGAAAATCACCAAATATATGTGTGTGTGTGTGTGTGTGTGTGTGTGTGTGTGTGTGTATAGAAAGCAAGGATTGACAAGGTTTTCTTAAGTAAATCTTATTAGCATACTAGAATTGTGAGACTAGGTAGTGTTAAGTCTTACATTCAAAACTTCCCAATATGTGCAAAATAAAGCCTAAAGTTCTCTTATATTGTATGACCTTATCATCTGGACCATTCCTGCCTCCCACACTCTTCCTTTTGTATCCTGTAATCCAGCCAAGTTCAGTTACTGTCTTTTCTGAATTTTACCCCAGGTTTCCCATCTATTTCCTGGTTCTTGATCCTTCTCTCCATTCAGAGGCCATTGCCTCCACTGCCCCAAATCAAAATCCTTCGCACTCAGCAACTTAGCAAGGCCCCAAGCAACTCAGCAAGACCCTGTCTCTAATAAAATATTTTTTTAAATTCCTAGGGATGTGGCCTAGTTGTTACGTATCCCTGAGTTTAATCCCTGATATATATATAAAATTCTTCCCAATCTTTCAGCCTCAACTGAAATGCCAATTTCACCAATTTCACTCTGAACCTCTCCTCTACTCCTCCACTTAAACCTCCTTAGCATCTTTTATAACATAATAGTTATTTGTTTGTGTGTTTCCTTTTTTCCACCATCTCTTCCTTTCCTAGATATCTCCTACATTAGAACTTGCCTTTGAATATCCTCTGGTAAATCCCCTAATAGCCAGTAGATATTCAATAGATTCATTAAATGAATGCTTTTTTCCTTAGTGTTGAAGTTTTGTGAATACTTCTTTTCTTTTCTACAGTCACAAGTCAAGAGTTAAAGGTTATCTGAGATTAAAAATGACTTATCTACCTAAAACCAGTGGCTCAGAAGAAGATAATGCAGAACAGGCTGAGGAATTAGAGGTGAGATTTTATAAATATTTGGTTAAACTAAATACATACAAATATATCTGATTTCTTATTTTAATATACCCTAAAGAAAAATAATTTATTCAATGAAATTAATGTGTGCAATTACCATTATTTACCTGGATTATTTATTTCACCTAAGCATTCATTAACAATTTCTTTCTTCTAAGGATACTTCAGTAGAATGAATGGCTATTATCAATAATCTTCTTAAAGGTTAGGGAGTAGAGAATACAATGTTTATAAATGAAAAACATTTACTGTAACTGTCACGAACTTTCTAGTTTTTCAGTTTTCTAAAACCATGACATATTCTCCTTTAAGAACATAATTTAGTATTTGTAAGTTAAACATATGCACATTTTGGAAAGACTCTTAGCTAATAAGGAACTCTTTTATGAAAGACATGTAATTCTGTTACTTTTCTTACTATGGTGGGGGACATCATGAGGGAAATAGAGTCAGGGGAGAAATCAGTGAGATAATAAAAAGGTATATTTATTTGAGGCAAGTAGAATTTAACTGTTTTCATGGATGAAAGGAAAGTCCAAGTCAAGAATGTGGATAGAGCTACATGCCTCTGGGGCTAATGAAGAGATGCAGAATATGTATTTGGAATAGAAGGGGATTTGGAGACGGGAACCCCAGTGGCAAGCTCTGCCACTAGTCAGCCTCATGATCCTATGAGGAGCTGACCTTCTCTGACTCTTGGGTTCCTCATTCACAGAGTTATACCAGCTAACCCCTAGAGTTTCTTTCAGTAGAAAAATTCATGATTTGAAAAGAGGACCAAAAATCATCTGCTCCTTGAGGTCCATTTGAAAGGCACAATCCATCAAAAGGTGACATCATTCATTCAATATATACAGAAAACACGTGGTAAATTGCTTCAGAAGTTTCTTTTTCCTTCCTCAGTTGTCACCTCTTTGTATGAGGTTCTGCATTGGTCTCTGTAAGAACTGTGAAGCAGAGGGGCCTCCCCAAGGGCTGGGCTCTACCTCATGTGCTCTTAAGTAGGCAATGAATTTGCAATAACGTTTTCTGGGAATATTTTGAATGCAGTCATGAGATTTGCTTTTCAGGGGGAATGTATAATTATAGGAAGGAGAGAAATTTTTTTCTTTACATCATAAATCAAATCCCTAGTTTGGTGATCAAAAAATTTGTTATTTTCTCAAGTCTATATTCATTTATTTGATATATTTTTCCCATTTTTCTCTGATTTTTCATAGAACAATTATTTTTAATGTTTTCAAGGTATTTGTTGGTTAGACATTTGTCTACCTGCCATTTGGGTACCCAGGGCATCTTGCATGATGGAATTCTGTTTGAAATAGAGGATGTCTGCTGTAAAGAAAGAAAATTATTTAGTAACTTAAAAAGATTAATAACATTTCATTATTTAGTAACCTATTCCAAGTTTTGCCCACACACACATATCATATAGGTTCCCTGTTCACAGTTCTGTTTTGTTTCATCTTGTGGTCTCATGTCTCAGTGTTTGGATTCCCTCAGAAGGCACCTTGTAATTCAGGAGGTGTGAGCATGTAGTTTATTTATGAAAACCCCTAGGAATTCAAACACATGAATCTGTGCTTATTTATCTTCTGTGTAGCTAGTGTCCAGAGAAGTCTTGCCTAGTTCTTTGAAATCTAGTTTGTGACTGGATATATGAAATTCTACTATTTGAAGACAACAATTGAAATTTTGAAAAGTGGCTCTCTCTTAAGGCAGTTTGTAATCCTTAGTAAAGCATGAGTGTAATGGGTAATTAACATTTGGTTTGTACTCTTTGTGCAATTTAAGAGTTAGTTATATTTTAAGAAGATCGACGTAGAACTTTTATCTGTCTCTGAATGCTTTCTTTTTGACCCGCTTTGACTCTGCTAAATTTTAGGCAATTGCATATAGCCTTGAGGCTACTAATTAAGTAAAGTTCATTGATTCTTAGAAAATTAGTTTATGGAGAATAGACAATAAAACATGTTTAATAGAGAGGCATTCTATTTAGAAAATAAAATCTCAGTCATTGTAAATGGTATTTGAATGTACAACTATACTTCCTCAAACTTGAAATAGATTTTTTAAAGGCCCTACTCAATTTTTTTTTCATTTTCTTCTTGAATTTACTATAATATAAAGTAGATCTGAGAAATCTTAGCTGTGTGCGTGCATGCACGTGTGTGTGTGAGTGTGTGTGTGTGTGTGTGTGTGTGTGTGTGTGTGTGTGTGTTGAAACAAAGAAATCACAGCTTTTAAAGAAATATTCTTTTGGTATTGTTTTCCTAATTTTGAATGTTTTTATGATTATTTTCAGCAGTAGTAAGATCCCTTTTATTAATAAATGTAATCTTAAAGGAAAGTTAATAATTGACTACATTCAACAAAAAAATCTTGATAACCTTTCTTTCAGAAGAATGAAATATAATACAACTCACATGCCTTTTTTTTGTTTTGTTTAAACTGGGTATTGAATCCTGGGATGCTTTGCCACTGGGCCACATCCCTACACTTTTTTTTGGGGGGGGGGCGGATGGTACCAGGAATGTGGCTCAGTGGTTGAGAGCCGCTGAATTCTCCAGCCCTATTTTGTATTTTGTTTAGAGACAGGGTCTCACTGAGTTGCTTACCACCTCACTTTTGCTGAAGCTGGCTTTGAACTTGCAATCCTCTTACCGCAAGTCTCCCAAGTTGTTGGGATTACAGGCATGCACCACCCAGTGTAGACCATTTGTTGTTGTTGTTGTTTGTTTGTTTGCTTTTGAGACAGGGTCTCATTAAGTTTCTTAGGATCTTGCTAAGTTTCTGAGGCTTTCCTGCAACTTGTGACCCTCTGCCTCAACCTTCGTAATTGCTGGGATTATAGTCATGCACCACTGTGCCTACCAGCTCACGTATCTTTGAAATGAAGACCAGAGTATTAAAATAGAATTCTGTATTCACAAGACTAATATATCCTATATCCTCATCATGTAAGGGAAAAGAGAGTAAAAAGGAAGATAAATACAGATGAAATGACAAAGTAAGAGTTTGGAGGGGAGAAAGAAAATGGAATTCGGGCAACAAAAAGAAAAAATACTAAAGACTTATCAGTTCCCAGAGAAGAAATAAAATAAAAAATTAAATAGAAAAGAGAAAGAAACAGAGTAAATTTTGTTTTCCAACCAGATTCCTTTTCCCAAAATTATTCTTTCTGTCTTCTCTCCTTACCCCTCAGTCCATAATCCTCCCACCCAGTAGACAGAATAGATCAACCATCCTGCAGAAACCCCTTTTTCGTCCTGCTGCCAAAAACTATTCCTTTCCTTCCCAGCTCTTCTCCTTGGCCTCATTTTCAGGTTCAGTCTTCCAAGGTAGAAAAATTCTCTCCCTGCTTCTAAGCCCTCATCTGCCTAGCACACAACAATTTTTCACCACTGTGAAAAACTGGATCTCCAGTGCCTACAACATAAACTGTGCATATGTTAAAGAACTTATTCTTTGACTATTACCTTAGTACTGAAATGTTTTCTGATTTGTATTTATTTTTACCTTGATTTGGTAGTTTT